GGAGAATCCACAATGATTGGTGGAGGGCAAAAATGGCATAAGTTTGGCTAAGAAGTGCATCAGACAAAGGTTTGAATGGTTGTGATCTACCACGCTTCATGGACCAAGTCTAGAATCAAGATTTGAAATAGTTTGGGGGTTTAGAATGAATTTCCCAAAAATGATTTTTAGATAAACATTTGATTTAAGCTTCTCAGATTTCTCCCGGTTTCACTCAAAATGATTTTCAGTTCAAACTTGGTACGCAATGTACCCGAGAATTTAGGATTTTAGATTTAAAATAAGTCTAGGTGTTGAATTTATTTAAAAGTGGCTCAAAATAATTTATTCAAACACCAATTTTATTGCAAATATTTTTATAGAGTGAAAAATGACTATTTTGAAATTTCTTAAAACTGAATTTATAAAATTAAATTCTGGATTGTCACAAGTGAAGAGGAAACCCGAAGGATGGAGTAGAAGTTGTGAGGTTCCACATGGTTCGGGCTGAATGGCAATCCCATAAGAGGTGCCTCAACGTCTCATCCTCCCTGTCGCAGCATGGGCAAATTGTATATTCATGTATGATACAGAGAAAAGCATATCTATATATCATAGCATATATACAAACATTCATAATTTACATATACAAATTGCATGTATATTTTAAAGCATATACTCAATATCAACTGGATCTCATAGTGTAAATATACAATTATTAGCAATTTGAACAATTAGGAACGTTAATTAAAAAAAAAAAAAAAAGCATACCGTTCATCGAAGATATATATTATCGTGCTCATAACATGTTATGATTATTGTATTTAGCCCATAGCTATCTCCGAGAAACGGATCGTATTCGTAATAAAAACAATACAAAGAAAATGAAAAAAGAATAGTAGCAATGTCGAGACAACAAGTGACAGCCATTCCATTCAATTCATTCATCATCATTCTTACAAATGGGGGTATAACATATATATAATATAAAAATTATTTTTTAAATACATATACAGAATATGTATACAAAATTTCGAAATGGTATGTAAATATCCATATGAAAAAATATATGTATATATATGGGTTAATTTCATTTTTGGTCCTAGATTTATAGGTGACAGTCCACTTTTAATCTTCTTTTATTGGAATATCCTTTTTTGGTCATAGTATTATTGTGATATGACCAATTTTGGTCCTCTATAAAAAAAATGTTGAAATTTCGTTAAATACAATGTCATTTCACTCGTCAATTATGAATTTTTTCAAAAAAATAAACGTAAAAATATAACGGGTCAACGCACTTTGGAGTGAATTCCATTTTTGGTCCTACTATTATAGGGGCGTTTCCAATTTCAGTCCACTTTAATTTTTTTTGCCACTTTACAACCACTGTTATTGAATGTGTTCCACTTTCAGTCCACCGTTAATATTTCCGTCAAGAGGCCGTATAATCAAAGGGTATTTTGGTCTTTTTTATGTTTGTATCTTCTCTTTTAATCCAGGCGCTTTGTCCTCCTCCTCCGATATTCGAAGATGGCTCTTCGAACAACGAGAATGGGAAGCCAAAGCTACATCGTTTCGTTCGTTCCAACATGGGCCGGCGAGGTTTCTTAAGTTTTAGGTTTAATGTTCTCATTTCTTTAGTCAAACATAGTCTTGGATGAGAAGAAAGGTCAAAATACCCCTAGATTACACAGCCTCTTGATGGAAATACTAACGGTGGGACTAAAAGTGGAACACATTCAATAATAGTGGTTGTAAAGTGGCAAAAAAAAATTAAAGTGGACTAAAATTGGAAATGCTCCTATAACAATAGGACCAAAAATGGAATTCACTCACGCACTTTGTATTAAAAGCGGTGTTGCAAAAATCGCGCCTAGGCGGTTGGCCTCCTAGGCGCCCGCCTAGGCGCTCTAGGCGCCTAGCGATTTTTTCAACATTGATTAAAAGATCAAAATGTCCTTTAATTTAACAAAATTTCAACGATTTTTTTGATAGAGGACCAAAATTGGTCATGTCACAATAATACTAGTACTAAAAGGGGATGTTCTGATAAAAAAAGACTAAAAGTGGACTACCACTTATAAATCTACGACCAAAATGGAATTAACTATATATATATATATATATATATATATATATATATATATATATATATATATATATAAATATATATATATATATATATATATATATATATATATATATATATATATATATCTACTATACTAATAAGAGCCCAAGAGAGTTAGGCCTATAATGGGTAGAAAAAATGGTGGTCAAATTTTTTAATTAAATGAATGGCTCAGATTGATCAGATTTTAATTTTTCCTTAAGATTTCCTAATTTATCCGTAATGAATATGATTATCCGTTAACTTTTCCGTTAAATATTATATTTTCCGTTAATTTATGTTAGTTCACCGTTAACTTACTCATTGATTTCAATAAGAAAGGTCTTAGGTTCGAACCACATCCCAATAAAAGTTGGCATAATTAGTACTCTATTTTACTCTTAGTAAATTAAATAATAATTTAGTAGCTACAACAAAAAATAATAAATATGCATGTCTTTAATTTAGAATTATGTGTCTACAATTTTTTTATTCAAAAAAAAAATTATTCATTATCAATAAATTAAATAAGAGAAATAATTCCATTAGTTATATTATCTTTATTTTTCTCCAATATAAAAACTCTTTACATTAAAATTCATCAATTGATTATATTTGCTACATTGTCCCTACAATGTCTTTATTAAAAAAAAAAAAATTATTCATTATCAATAAATTAATTAAAAGAAATAATTTTATTAGTTATATTGTCTTTATATTTCTCCAATGTAAAAATTCTTTACATTCAAATTCATCAATTGAATATATTCACTACATTGTCTATTATCTTTTTTGTGCACTATTTTTTAATTAAATATCAAAATTATAATACAAATAATGTTAAATATTTATTTACCAAATATTTTATTAATACCATGAAAAATTAAAAAAAATTGTAATTAATAAAGCCAATCATATTAACTACTTGAGAGATTTGTTGACAAAGAGAGTATTCAAATCACATACAAATTGAAGTGAGAACTACCTCGCAATGTCCTTGTTTGACAATCTGCAGTTAACGGTTAGCGTTAGCGGATTATATTAGCGAATTTGACCAGCGAATTATATTGACAGATGGTAAAATGATATTTAAAAAAATTAACTGTTTAGATTAACATGAAAATGACCTAAGGGTATACATATATTTAATAATAATAATAATAATAATAATAATAATAATAATAATAATAATAATAATAATAATTGTTTTAAAAAAATAAAAAAATATAATTAAGCCAATCATATTAACTACTTGGGAGATTTATTGACAAAAAGAGTATTCAAATCACACAACAAATTGAAATGGAAAACTATCTCGCAATGTCATTGTTTGGCAATCAGCAGTTAGCTCTTCAATATTAGTATATATTTAATATTTTATTCTCTAATTTTTATTTGATCTCCCTTATGTCCCGTATTTGGTTTCAACCATACCTATATAATTATTTTATTGACAATTATAATCAATCTTGACTATATTATCTTGCATTTGTAAACTTAGAATTGCCTATTTAAATACACAAATTTTAACATTCAATTGTCTATGCATTAACAATTTCAATATAATCTTGCCTTGATATACTTTAAAGTACTTATTTAAAAAAAGTTTATTGGGCATTATCACAATCGCGCAATGCGCGTAAAAAACTAGTATATAAAAGAAAGTTCAAATGCGGCGGGGTCTTCCCGTGCGACGGTGCGGCGGAATTTCAGAATACACCAACAGTGTTAACAACATGCACCAACAGTGTAAGGGAAACACATCACAATGAAATGCAAAAAAAAAAAAAAACACCAAAAAATATAAACAGACCCAAAAAAAATACACCATATAACTCACCACCCCTAATGGTGTATTTCCGAACAGTATAGTGTTTTTAATCACACCTAATGGTGTGTTTTTGGTGATGCTTACCTAATTTTTGTGTGTTTTGTGGTGTATTTTCCTAACGTTGATGGTGTATATTTGATGAACTATTGGTGACGCCGCACCGCCGCACTTGAACCTTCCTCTCTCTCTATATATATGTGTGTGTGTGTGTGTGCGCGCGCGGTGATGATGGTTTGCTATAATGTATATTCATGTATGATACAGAGAAAAGCATATCTATATATCATAGCATATATACAAACATTCATAATTTACAAATACAAATTGCATGTATATTTTAAAGCATATACTCAATATCAACAGGGTCTCATAGTGCAAATATACAATTATTGGCGATTTGAACAATTATGAACGTGAATTAAAAAATTAACATACTGTTCATCGAAGATATATATTATCGTGCTGATAACATGTTGTGATTATTACCTTTAGCTCATAGCCATCTCCGGAGAAACGGATCATATATTCGTAATAAAAACAATACAAAGAAAAAGGAAAGAGAATAGTAACAATGTAGAAACAAGTGACAGCCATTCCATTCATTCATCATCATTCTTACAAATGGGGTATAACATATATAATAATAATAATAATAATAATAATAATAATAATAATAATAAAAAAGTAGAATGTTACCATCGTTATAACCGTTATTATCTCTAATCATAATGTCTACACTTAATATCATTTATAACAAATATAATTAACAAAAAATTATTTTGAAGGATCCGGTGCATGATATAATTTGCTTTTATCCTTGAGGTTCTCTAATCTCTATCATCATCCATTAAAACCCCTAAAACCTTGTGTTTTTACTCGGTAAAAAATACGATTCACGAACACAAAATTCGCTGGATTTCATACATTCAAAATTTATGTCGCCTTGAACTCCTTCTGACGGATCATCTTGCCCTTCAGAGTTGTTGCGCGGAACATTGAGGTACTTCTTTTGGATTTCTACTCCAAGCTTTTCATGCTAGTATATGTTGCTTAGCATAAACTTGGAGGCAGACAGAAATGGCGGACGACTTCTTGAGGCTTCCTGAATCCTTGATTCAACATATATTGTCATTCCTTCCTTTTAAGGAAATAGGTCGTACTTGCGTTTTATCCAAGTATTGGAATAACATTTGGTGCATTTACCCTAATCTGAATTTCCGTTTGTTGGACAATGAAAAATTGGATAATCAGGTAGAAAATCCAGAGCATCCTTTCTTGGATCGCGTAGAGAATTCCTTGGGTAAGTGCCTTGCTAGGAGGCGTTTCATAAAAGAAGTCTGCATAGAAATTAGAACAAGGTTAGAAGTGAAGACTTTGACACCAAAGTTAGACCGTTGGTTAGGTCTTGCTCTAGACAAGAATGTTTCAAAGCTAGTGCTGAATATTGTTAATACTCGGTGGTTGGTATTGACACCCCCTGTTACTTATTCTGTTCCTGAGCAAGTCTTTGTTGCAAGGACACTTGAGGTTTTGGATTTGTCTCGTTGTACCATAGAAGAAAATTGCTTTGTTTGTATTGAGCTCCCAAATCTAGAGAAGCTCTCTCTTTCGTTATGCAGATTTATCGGTGACAATTTGCTACAAAAGATTGTGTGTGCTTTCCCTAAGATGAAACACTTATCAATTTCTCAGTGCAAAGGTGAGGGGCGCTCTCTATCTGTTTCATGTAAATCTCAGTTAACATGTTTTTTCTTGAAAAGCAGCAACGAGTTTGAGAGGGTTCAAATTAATGTGCCGAGTCTTCATACATTTTCATTTGGATCCGAAAATGCTGCATGTGCTATTGATGTGACTGGTTGCACAAATCTGAGAGAGTTGTACTTGGACGGTGTTATTGGAATGGATTTGGAACGCTTTCGGTCTATATTTATTAGCATTCCTGTATTAAAGGTGTATGCCCGTTACTTACCAAGTAAGTACAAGATTTCAAGCCAAAGTCTTAAGAGACTCATTCTCAATGGTTCGGATTATTTCCCTGGTGTGGAAATTGATGCTCCAAATTTATTGAGTTTTGAGTTTTCCCTTACTCACGATTTGAGTTCAGAATTCAACTTCTGTTCCTGGAGTATTCCAAAAGTAGATGATATTAACATGATGTTTTCAGCCCATAGTTTTCGAAAAGCATGTGGGGCAGGGCTAGAGGATTTCATCCTGAAATTACATAATTATGAGGATGCCAACTGGATTATCTTTGACCCTAATTATCGGGTAAGTTATTTCATGTTCTTACAAGGTTATCCTCTCTACCAACTAATTTCAAGTAGTATGTAGAAAATTTATTGGTAAGTTACTTTTTTTTTTTATGGCTTCTTGTTCTCTGTGCAGGACTTCATTATGATTGAGAAATTGCAAGCTGTCTCTTTTTCTTCTCTTAAGAGTTTTGCAAGAAAGTCAAGAAGTATAAGCATTCTTATATCCTTGAAGGCTCAAATTTCCATGGTGTGTAGGCTTTTGGAATCACATTCTATAGTGCAAACTACTATATCCTTGATATGCTCTTCCCCTCAGTTTGCTGAGGTATGTAGTTATTTTATGTTCTGAAACGACATTTTTAGTACAGTGCAACATTGTGTCCTGTTGATGATTTTCCTTACCTCAATTGCAGTGTTTTTATAAGAAACTTGGTAATTGCTCTGCTGTAAAGGACAATTATTGCTGTGAGTTGGTGTCTCAAAGTAAGGTAAAGCAACTAGCGACTCCGGCCTGGGAATCATTTATGGAGTCTAACTCAAGAGGTAAGAACCACAATGCTGCAATTGTCCTGGATAAGAGGGTTCAGAGATGATGATAGAGTAGATCATTTGAGAAAGCTCTGCTAAAATCATTGCAATTAGTTGGGTTTTTGCAATATCCCCCATTTCCTAAACTGTCCTTGTGGGTTCTATCCCTGCTATATATAGATGTTTACCAGGGAAGAAGGGATAGGAGAGTTACCCAGTTTAAGTTTGTTTTCTTTTCTTTTCTTTTCAGACGGATTCTTGTAGGTGTTTCTTCTTCCAATTTTGCTTTTTTTCATGGATGATGACAATGGTGGCGATAGTTTTTATGATGAATTGGAGTTTGCATGTTAAATGTGAATTTTTTATGTTGTTAGATTTGTAAATTAGGGATGCATGACTGAGATTATTTTAAAGTTTAAAACTTATAAAATTTCTCGCACTAAAAAGAATAACTTATAAAATACCAATAAGATTGAGTAATAAGTTCAAAGAGTTGATACCATCTGGAGTCCTCCGAGTATAGTGGTTTTGCCACGTTTAGTCATAAACTTTTAAATTGATCACTTGTGGTCCTTCGACTTTCAAATTTTAACCATCCATGGTCCTTCAACTATCAAATTTTAACCACTCATAGGCCTTTAAGGAGGGCTGCAACTGATTAAATTTCGAAAGTTGAAGGACCATTGGTGGTTAACTTGGACCACCGATGGTAACAATTTCAAAGTCGAAGGACCACGGGTGGTCAATTTGAAACTTTAGGACTAAACGTGGCAAAACCATTATACTCGGAAGACCCCATATGGCATTAACTCTAAGTTCATAGCTTTTTATTATTTTTTTAGAGTTAATGACCTCCAATGGTCCTTCGAGTATTAGCGATTTACCAATTGTGGTCATCCGAGTTTTAAATGACCTCCAATGGTCCTCCATGTTTTAAAATATGGAGGACCATTGGAGGTCATTTAAAACTCGGATGACCACAACTGGTAAATCGCTAATACTCGGAGGACCATTGGAGGTAGATGAAATTTTAATTTTAGTCATATGACTATATGGGTCTTGTTAATTTCAGTCCCTGACTTTTAAAAGTGTCAATTTAGTACCTTAACTATGCAATTTTTTTCAATTTTAGTCACTCCAGCCAAATTCTACTGGAAAATTTTAATTGTTAAAATAATGAGGGTATTTTGATCATTTCACATCTCTTTTCTTCTTCCCAGGCGAGTCCATCCCTTCCTCTCCCGTTTTCGACGAATGCAATGAACTAAGATGATGGGGAAATGAGGCTTGATGATATTACAGATAGAGTTTACAGGGAGAAAGAATGCCGGAAACGGGAGAGAAAGTAATGGACTCGCCGGAGAAGAAGAAAAGATGCGTGAAACGATCCAAATATCCTCATTATTTTAATTATTAAAATTTTTCCGGCCAAATTTGGCCGACAATTTGTCCGGAGTGACCAAAATTGACGAAAATTGCATAGTTAAGGTACTAAATTGACACTTTTGAAAGTTAAGGACTAAAATTAACAAAACCCCGGTAGTCATATGATCAAAATTGAAATTTCCTCATTGGAGGTATTAACTCTAAATTTTAATGACAATCATGAAGATTGTACCATATCCCTTCTCTACCCCTTTTGAATCAATGATTTTACTTTAAGCAATGCAGAATTTGAAGATTGTTATCTTCAGGGGGAGACGGGAATCACATTCCCTCGAGTCCATCCTGTAGATTGGGTCTTGAGTGGTCAATCTTGTAGATCGGGTCTTAAAAGGACTAACAGTTGTACTTTTCACAATATATACATACCATGTACTCTTTTCCTCACTAGGTTTTTTCTATTGGATTTTTCTAGTGTGATTTTTAACGAGGCACGAGTATAATATAGTAATGTCAATAGGGGAAAGTTGCAAGTAAATACTTAAATAAGATAAATCCCAAAATCATGAAGATTATGCCTTAAACGCTTATGATTGTACTCTTTTTCCCTTAACTAAGTTTTTTCACGAGGTTTTCTTAAGTTAAGGCTTTTAACGAGGCAATCAGTACAATATATGAGTTTACAAATATCATGTACTCTTTTCTTCAACTAGGTTTTCCCACGTGGTTTTCCTAGTGAAGTTTTTAACGAGACATGAATGTATTTGAATATACTATCGGTATACCTTGTACTCTTTTCTTGTTTAGGTTTTTTTCTCACAGGGTTTTCCTAGCAAGTTTTTAACGAGGCAAGGTCGTGGCCAAATAATGTCCAAGCAGGGTCGGTCGTATTATTTTATAGGCCGGGACAAAGTAAAAACAAGGGCCCTTAATATATAACGTTAAAATGTTTTATATATATATATATATATATATATATATATATATATATATATATATATATATATATATATATATATATATAGTTCAAAAGATTGTGTTAATTGAAAATAATTCAAGGATAAATTTTAATTTTTATTGACATATAATTTTTAAGACTTTGTTTTTTTTTTTTTTTAATAAAATCAGTTAGCCTAATTCCGAAGTAATGCTCATTAAAACTTTGGGCCTCTATATGAAGTTTAATTATAAGTTAATTTAATATTCTCTAATATATACAGAGTATCTATTAATTGAATTATTATATTAAATGATTGTTTTTTGGGTTACCCACTCTTTTCTGATAAAAAAAATTATATTAAATGATTGTAATGGTTAAGTGAATTTAATGTTAAATAATAATTTTGAAGTTTTGGGTTTAAATCTCTGCTCATGCAAGAATTTTTTTTTTTTATCTGAACTTTATCAAAAAAAATAAAAATCCAAATTAGGGGCCTTTTCAACATTGGGCCCTGGGCGAGTTCCCATGTTACCCGCCCCTCTGGGCCGGCCCTGGTCCAAGGGGGAGTGTTATAAATGATATTAAGGGTCCGTTTGGAAAGCAGGAAAATGACTTCTGCAAAATGTTTTCTGGAAAATGAGTCATTTTCCGGAAAATATTTTCATTTCCTGTGTTTGGTTGCATTCTAAAAAACTGTTTTTGTGTGTTTCGTTCATTTTCTGGAAAATGAGTACAATTGTATAATTAAACATTTTAATTATTTTATTTAGAATATTACAACATGTATAATAATATATAATAATATAATAATAATTTTAAATATAATAAAAAAATAACTAATAATATATCAAAAATATTATTATTGTGGTGGTGGTGGTGGTGGTGTAGTGGTAGTGGTGTTATTTGTTATATAATAATAATAATAATAATAATAATAATAATAATAACAATAATAATAACTGTGGTGGCAGTGGTGATGGTGGTGATGGTGTGGTGGCGGTGGTTGCGGTGGTATGGTTGTGGTGGTGGTGGTGGCGACGGTGGTTGCAGTGGTGGTGGTGGTGGTGGCGGCGGTGGTTGCGGTGGTATGGTCGTGGTGGCGGCGGCGGTGATGGTGTGATGGTGGTGGTGTGATGGTGGTGGTGTGGTGGTGGCTGCGGTGGTGGTGGTGGTGATATGGTGTTGATGGTGTTGGTGGTGGTAGTGGTTGCGGTGGTATGGTGTTGATGGTGGTGGTGTGATGGTGGTGGTGTGGTGGCGGTGGTTGCGGTGGTATAGTGGTGGTGGCGGCTGCAGTAGTGGTGGTGATGGTGGTAGTGAGGTGGTGGTGGTATGGTGTTGATGATGTTGGTGGTGGTGTGATGTTGGTGTAAAAGTTAGAAAATGACTCCCCCCCAAAAAAAAGGAAGTCATTTTCCTCCAAAAACAAGCCTATTTTCCAAAGTCAACGGAAAATGATTTCCGTTGACTTGATTTTCCAAGCACATCCAAACAATGAAAACTTGGAAAATGATTTCCAGAACTCATTTTCCAGGTTTCCAAACACACCCTAAGTGGACATTATTGTAATGGTTATAACGTGTGTAACAGCCAACATTATTATTGTTATTAATTAATACTAGTATATATATATATATATATATATATATATATATATATATATATATATATATATATATATTGTATCCCCTCTTGTACTGTGGATGCTGAATGAAATGGAGATTACCCCTACATGATTGTCTATCATTCTCCCTTCTCCAACTTACAACATTAACTACTTACTTATTTTCTATAATGTCTTTATTAGTTGAGTATATATATTTTTAAATTAATACATTAGTAAAATATTTGATTTTCTGTCAGTGACCTGTTAATATAATCTAATTATTAAGAAATAAGAAGGAGCTTTATTGACAAAGATTGCGTGAAAATTGAATTGACTAAAACTAGTGAAGTAATAGATGAAGCAAGAGCAAAATGATTGATAATATGAACCTGACTCACCAAAGGTGAAATCTTTACCTCTAAACTTAACTTGCATATAACGAATGATAGAGTAGATAAAGAAAAGTGTCGAGTCAAGCGTAGAGGATGAAAAATTAACACAATACATACATCACACAAGCATATTGCATAATTTTTCAATTATGGTACATACATAAATTACTCAAACCCATAACCAAAAAGACCCAAAATTTGAAGTGTTTCACAATTATTTGATTTTTTCAAGAAATTTATGAAGCAAATCCATAATATTAATAGTGGATCTAAGGGATTTCAATGATTACTTGAACCAAATACTAACAATAGAGAACTAAGGATGAAGGTAAATGGTGTACGTTATACTTAGCTCAATAAGTGAGCAAAGTTCTAGGTAGAAGGAAGCTATGGAAGTATGGAGTCATGGAGTCTCCAGAGTAGTGATGAAGTGAGTAGTAATGAAGCGTTGAGAGATGTAGTGAGGATGCGACAGATGAGTAGGCGATAGATGAAGATGGAATGATACTTGTTTTTAATTAAATAATAGAATTTTTAATTAAAAGAGTAATCAAATCCCCTTATAGTTGTGTTTTAAAAAGTTTTCAACCAAATAATAACACTATAATTTTAATTCCTATTCCTGATATATAAACCCATGCCATGAACCAAACACATGCTAAGTGATGACATAAATGTAAATATACAAATAAGTATATAACCATAATAGGTTTTGTGTATGTATGAATAATGTAATATGTAATTAATATAGTCGTTTGAATTCGGTAACGTTGAAACAGACGTTGTGACACAAATATTCATAACGCAGTTTCGGGCAAGCAGCCCTAATCTGCGAGGCACTTCTCAAATTGAGAATTTGCCTAAATCCACTAAAAGCTCAATATTTAAAGTACACTTTGTTTAGGGAACGGAGATTACACAATATGATTTCCTATCAAGCTATTGAGACCTAAACACTTGTACTACTTTTCAAGGGGATTTGGGTATCTCTCTCAATGACTCTCGTGCTCACGATTAGGTGCTGAAAGCGTAATCTTTGTGATTGAGAGTGGCTGCCTTTTATAGGACAAGAGATGACTTAGTTTGAATATGAATAGATTTATTAGTCCTATTCATATTTGGACTATGATATCTACTGGAATTAGGAGTCAGGTTTTTGCGCCCAATAGTTGACAATACTTTTGAGGTCAACAATCTCCCCCTTTGTCAAACTTTTGCAAAAACCTTGGTTTGTTGGAAGGTCTTAATTCCTGGTGTGACTCCCCCTTAGTTTGGGGAGGAATGTGATGATCTTTTGATGAGTAGTCTCCCCCTTGATTCAATCTTTGCTTCAGCTGTTGTTCTTTGACTTGTGTAGTTATAGCATAATAAAATGTGCTGGCAAGGAAATAAGTCTTTTCCTTTTGTCAGTATCTTTCCACATGGTAGCAATAAAGAATAAGGCCAGCCTGGATCATTTTTATCCTCAAAAGATAAGCTGCCAAAAAAAAACAGAAAGAGAACTGCCAAACTGCCTCTTGGAAACAGAAACTGCCAAACAGTCTGGGTTTACATGTCCCATACACATTACAGATTATTCAATTCAGATCATCCAAAAGATATCAAAAATACCCTACCATCTATTTTGAGACAGATTAAAAAAAAAAAAAGAGAGATCATAACATCCACCTTGAAGCTGATCCATTTTGAGACAGATTCTTCCCAAACAAAAATGGCCAAGGGAAATCATACTATTCATCTTGAAGATATCTTATCAAAACTATACCATCCATCTTGAAGAATGTCTTACCAGGACATCAGATCATAGACCAAGAGAAATCATACCATTCATCTTGAAGATGTCTTACCAAAACATCAGATCATACAAGGTACTAACTCTCCCCCTTTTTTGCTAAATGTTTGAAGATGTTTTAGGTGGATTTTTCACTACTTTCAGCTTCAGGTTCTTGATCATCTTCTTCTTCATTTCTTTCACTACTCTCAGCTTCAGGTTCCTGATCACCATTTTCTTCACTACTTTCTTGATCTTTTTCTAGTTCTTGATCATCTTCTTCTTCATTACTTTCTAATTTCAGGGCTTTCAGCCATTGTTGTAGTTCAGTTTTCTCCTCTTTGATTTCCATATGTTTCCTCAATACATGTTTCTCAGAAGCCTCTAGTTCAGACAATCTTTTCTCAAAGTAGTTAATTAGAGTCTGCTGATCTGTTGGTTTGTCTTTTGGACCTAGGGTTTTGAGATCATTTTGGTGCCCCCCTTTGGTCAATTTAATGGTTGTGTTGAGGATTTTTACTTGAGACTTTGGCTTGTGAATCTTGAGTCCTTGTTTTGCTAGAACAGAACAGATGAGGTTTGGAAATATAAGGCAAGCTTTGGTTCCTTTGTTTTCTGCTAGGTTTGTGACCTGTGTGTAGATGAGATTGCCAAGGTCAATTTTGATCCCTTTTCCAATCTTGTACAGTAGGTCTGCTAGGCTTCTTTTGAGTGTTGACTCATGTAATGAGGGCATCCAATTTGCCAGTGCGATTTTCTGTAATACAGCATATATACTGGTTAATGATGCAGCTTTAATTTTGTTTTTCTCCAGATTCACATTCCCTGCTGTGAGTTCTTGAATGACTTCATCATTTGTAAGAAGTATTCTTTCATCCCCTTCAGTGGTGTTGATGTGGTTGTTGATGATATCCGAATTAAACTCATAATATTTTCCCCTTAGGTATATTTTTCCATGCATTGGACTTGTGGAGATGGTGATGTCTTTGGTTAGGTTACTATAAAATTCTTGAACAACTTGTTCATCATAGGCTTCTATGTTTGTGACAGAACCAAGTAGTTGATTTTTTGTCAAGGTTTCTCGGATTTGATCATGTTTGTTCAGTTTATCTACCAAAACTAATTTTTGACTGAGGGTCTTTCTTTCAACAACTTTGCCCCATAGTTTTGCTGATTGTTGGCTCAAAAATTTTGTGCTGTGTGGTTTTGGTAGGATAGACTGATCTTCTGCTGGTGATACCTTTTCTTTGCCTCTTTTCTTTTGTTTTCCTTTTCTAGTAGGTTTTTCCTTTTCTTGAACCAAATTTTCAGTATCATTATTTGGGTGTTCTTCCGAAGCCCAGCTCAGATCTTCCTCTGGTTCTCTTCCCTTTTTAGTTGTTACTTTGGAATTTTGCAATCTTGGGAGGGGATTAGTGGGTTTTCGTTGTGGAGGCCCGGCCCTGATTGGGAAGTCATCTGGCCGTTTGGCTCTAGGATCACCTCCTTCATATGGGTCTGTCCTTTTTCGTTTCCTTTTGGTGGGTTCTAAACTGTGTGCTACCTCTGTTTCGTGGTTGTGACTTGATGACCTGTTTAGGTCGTTTTCAGGGGTGTCGAGAGGAGACGAACACGGTTCTTGTCCGTGACCTAGAGCATCTGTGTTTGATTCAGGGCTTTTCCCAAAATTGGGCACCTGACTTAGGGTTTCTCCAAATAGATCAATAGTGAGTTCCGGATTACCTGTAGGTGCAGATTGATGTTCTTGAATGGTCTGGAATGGCACTCGTGAGATGGGAACGGGATCCATGACGATTCTTGAGGTGTCGTCATCGTCGATGTGGACTGGGTTAGAGAGCATTCCAGTGCCGGAGAAGTGTGGTGCAGGGCCTCTTCGAGGTAATTTTCCTTTTGCTTGGTTTCGTGTTCTCACCATGGCTGATCTTGTGTGGAGCTTTGATGATAGTGGTAGGAATGGTCGTAAGGTAGAAGACGACTCTGTTATGAGCCCAAAAAAAAAATTGGTGGATCGGGTTATGGAACTTAGAAGAACAAGTCTAAAGATTTATGGGCCGCTAGCTGTTCTCATATTATGGGCCGCAAGCTGTTCTCATATACGGCCCACCCCTTCCCCTTCTTATTGTAAGTGGCATAATTCGATTTCGGTCCTCAATTTTACAAATCTGTTTCCGCCAAGAGCTTTTGTTAGGATACTGCTAGTTGTTTTTCTGTACTGATATGCATGAGATTGATGATTTTATCTTCTACTAGCTCCCTTATAAAATGATGCCTGATGTCGATGTGTTTTGTTCTTGAGTGTTGTACTGGATTTTTGGAGATATCTATTGCACTTTTGTTATCGCAATGTATGGTCATAGTTGTTTGATGTATTCCATAGTCTTCTAGCATTTGTTTCATCCAGAGTAGTTGTGTGCAACAACTTCCAGCTGCAATGTATTCTGCCTCTGTTGTTGATAATGATATAGAAATTTGTTTTTTGCTTGTCCAAGATACAAGATTTGTTCCTAGGAAGAAACAACCTCCTGAGGTGCTTTTTCTGTCATCTATGTTTCCTGCCCAATCGGCATCGCAATAGGCTGATAGGTGATGATTGGTATCGAAAGAATACCATATTCCTAATTCGGTAGTTCCTTTAACATATTTAATTACCCTTTTGACTGCTTTTAAATGTTGTTCTGTAGGATTTGCTTGATATCTTGCACATATTCCTACTCCAAAACTTAGATCTGGTCTACTAGCAGTTAGATATAGTAGTCCTCCTATCATACTTCGATATAGGGTTTGCTCAACTTGTTTCCCCTCTATATCTTTTGTGATTATTTCAGTTGTTGAAACAGGTGTTCTGACAACTTTGCTTTCTTCTAGTCCGAACCTCTTAACTAGATTTTTTGCATATTTGCTTTGTGATATGAAGATCCCACTATCTTGCTGTTTGATTTGTAGACCTAGAAAGTAGGTTAGTTCTCCAACCATGTTCATCTCAAATTCTCCTTCCATATTAGTGATGAACTGATTTTTGTGAACCTCAAGTGTTGATCCAAATACTATGTCATCAACATAGATTTGGGCAATAACTATGTCTTGATCATAGTGTTTGACGAATAGGGTTTTGTCCACACTACCTCTTTTGTACCCCTTTTTGATTAGAAACTCAGTGAGCCGCTCGTACCACGCCTGTGGTGCTTGTTTTAGTCCATATAGTGCCTTGTTGAGTTTATAAACACTTTGTGGAAAATGGGGGTCTTCAAACCCTTTTGGTTGGGCAACATAGACCTCTTCTTTTAGATATCCATTTAGAAATGCCGTTTTCACGTCCATTTGGTAGAGTTTTATCTTGAGAATGCAGGCTACTGCTATGAGGAGCCGAATTGATTCAATTCTGGCCACTGGAGCAAATGTTTCTTCAAAATCTGTCCCTTCAACTTGGGTGTATCCTTGTGCTACTATTCGGGCTTTGTTTCGTATAATGTTCCCTTGTTCGTCTGTTTTATTTTTGTAGATCCATTTCGTCCCTATGATATTGGCATTCTCTGGTTTAGTGACTAACTGCCAAACGTTGTTTCTTTCAAACTGTTGTAATTCCTCGTGCATGGCCCCCATCCAAAATTCATCTTTTAATGCTTCCGTGATATTTTTGGGTTCAATTTTTGAGGTGTAGCAGTAGTCATAGTCTCCTTCTTCCATTTTTTGATAGTCTCGTTTCTTTCCTCTAGTTCTGATTCCTTAATTTAGTCCTCCTATAATGTTTTCTATTGGATGATTTTTCTGTACCTTGGTCTCATAAGTGGTGACGATTTCCTCAATTTCCTTAGGATCTTCAGCTTCTTCTTTCTCTGTTATTTTTTGTTTCAGACTTTTGATTCTGTGATTTTGGAACTGTTGTTTCAACAACAGTTATCTCTTCATCACTGTTGGGAGGGTTCTCCGATGTTGTGTCATTGACCACAACATTTATAGATTCCATGACAGTATTTGTTCTAAGGTTGTATACTCGATATGCCCTGCTGTTCGAGGAGTAACCTAGAAAGATCCCTTCATCTCCTTTGACGTCAAATTTTCTCAATGGTTCTCTATCCTTTAGAATATAGCATTTGCTTCCAAACACATGTGTGTGTTTTAAATTTGGTGTTTTTCCTTTCCAGATTTGATATGGTGTCATGTTGATTTCTTTTCGAATGAAGACTCGGTTTATTAGGTAGCAGGCTGTATTAACTGCTTCTGCCCAGAATTTTGATGGAAGTCTCTTATGATTCAAAAGAACCCTTGCCATTTCTTGAATAGTTCGATTTTTTCGTTCGACTACTCCATTTTGTTGGGGTGTCTTTGGTGCGGAGAACTCATGGTGAATCCCATTTTCTGTGCAGTATTCTTTGAATTTTGAATTTTCGAACTCCCTTCCATGATCACTTCTTAGACGAATGATTTTTCCTATTCTTTCATCCTTTTCATTCTGGATTTTGACAACAAGGGTTTTGAATATTGTGAATGCTTCAGATTTTTCTCTAAGAAAGTTTACCCATGTGAATCGTGAATAGTCATCAACTGTTACATAGACATATCTCTTTCCTCCTATGCTTTCAGTCTGAGTTGGTCCAAACAAGTCCATGTGAAGTAGTTCTAGGATTCTAGAAGTGTGTATTCCTGAGGTCTTCTTATGGGCTGTTCGGGTTATTTTGTTTTCAAGGCATGCATCACATTTTTTGTTCTCATCTATGTCAAGTGTTGGAACTCCTCGATAGACTCCCTTCTTTAAACCCTTTTTCATGTCATGAAAGTTTATGTGACCCACCCGTTGGTGCCATAATTGTGTTTGATTGATGGTTGTCTGTAGGCAAGATAGATCACCGTCCCATGTGTAGCATTTATTCGTGGATTTTCTTCCGATCATAACACATTCATGATTTTGATTCAGAACATTGCAATTATCTTTTGAGAATTCTACTTTAAGTTCATCTTCACATAGTTGACTTATACTAATCAGGTTTGCTTTTAACCCTTGTACTAAGAAGACTGTTGACAATTTTGGAAGTACATGTACATTCAGGGTTACATTTGCAACAATTTTTCCTTTTCCTCCATCTCCAAAGGTAACATATCCTTCATCTTTATAGTGTATGTTCTCTAAATTTTCTGGATTTCCAGTCATATGCCTGGAACATCCGCTGTCAAAATACCATATATCTTGCTCCTTGTTTGTTTTGGAGGTGTATGCAACATTTTGGTCTTTTCTTACCCAGACTTTCTTGCTATTATTTCTGTTGTGTGGTGGCCATACTCTGTTGTTTTGTCTGTAGTAATAATCATTCTGTCTTTTGTAGCAATGTGCTTTGATGTGTCCTAGTTTGTGACAATAGTAGCACCTTATTCTTCTTTGATGTCGGAAGTGCTGTTGCGACACTTCCTGTATTTCAGATTGGTTATTCTCACTGGTGTCTGTGCCTGGAGTTCTGGGCCTTTCGGTAAGCTCCTTAATTTCTTGTAGCAGCTTAGTTTCTCTGTTCTTAAAGTCTAGTAGTTCGTTCTGGGCTTCTTTGTATTGTTTCTCTATTCGTTCTTTTTCATTCTTCAAATAGTGATTATCTTCCATGAGTTCCAAATTTTTCTTGATGATTTGCTCCCATTTGGCATTTAGTTGAGTGTATGCCTCTAGTAAATCTTGCATGTTATCACTATTGTTGTCTTCATGGCTAGCAGTGAAAGCTACAAAGTTTGTGTTGTTGTCATCTTCTTCACTATCTGAGTCATCGCTCAGAGTTGTTATATATGTTTTATTTTTCCTTTTCAAGTATGTGGCACATTCTGATTCAATGTGTCCAAAGCCTTTGCATTCATAGCATTGTATTATCTCTTCTCTTTGGATTGAATGGTTTTTGATTTGTAGAATTTATTTGGTTGTTTGAGATATTTTTATTCCTGGACTTGTTAAACTTTTTGAGAACTCGGTTAGTGCAATTGACTGTTCCATGGTTTCTGAATCAGTTTCTGAGTTCTCTTCTTGTCTGGACTGTAATGCTATTCCTTTACCATTGTTTTTCTGACCTTGTAGCATCTCAAGTTCATAGGTTTGAAGATTTCCTATTAGGTCACTTAGTCTGTATGTATTCAGATCTTTATGTTCTTGAATAGCGGTGACTTTCATTTGGAATCTTCCGGGTAGTGAGCGTAGAACCTTTTTGACGATCCTATGTTCGGGTATAGGTTCGCCTAAGTTGAATGCATCTCCGGATATGCTTAAAACTCTGGCACTGAATTGGGTGATGCTTTCTTCCTCTCCCATTTTCAGGTTTTCAAATTCAGTTTGTATCATCTGAAGCTTAGATTGTCTTACAGTTGTGTTTCCCTCATGATGATCGCACAATATACTCCATGCAATTTTGGCTATGCGAGTTGATGCAATTAGTTTAAAAGTGTCTTCGCTCACTGCTCCATATATTGCATTTATAGCCTTTGAGTTGAAGTCATATTCAGTTTTCTCTTCTTCGCTCCAATCAGTTCTAGGTTTTGCATTTCCTTTATCATCAACTGGAGTTTTCCATTCGTTTTCTATTGCATTCCAGACGCCTTCTCCTTGTGCCAGAATGTATATCTGCATTCGAGCTTTCCAGTAGGAGAAGTTTGTGCCAAGTAGAGCCGGTGGTCTATTGTTTGAAAGACCTTCTCTTGGGAATTCCATTTGGATCCTGCTAGTAACTTGAGCAAACCTGCTCTGATACCAATTGTAATTAATATAGACGTTTGAATTCGGTAACGTTGAAACAGACGTTGTGACACAAATATTTATAACGCAGTTTCGGGCAAGCAGCCCTAATCTGCGAGGCACTTCTCAAATTGAGAATTTGCCTAAATCCACTAAAAGCTCAATATTTAAAGTACACTTTGTTTAGGGAACGGGGATTACACAATATGATTTCCTATCAAGCTATTGAGACCTAAACACTTGTACTACTTTTCAAGGGGATTTGGGTATCTCTCTCAATGACTCTCGTGCTCACGATTAGGTGCTGAAAGCGTAATCTTTGTGATTGAGAGTGGCTGCCTTTTATAGGACAAGAGATGACTTAATTTGAATATGAATAGATTTATTAGTCCTATTCATATTTGGACTATGATATCTACTGAAATTAGGAGTCAGGTTTTTGCGCCCAATAGTTGACAATTCTTTTGAGGTCAACATAATATACATTCAAACTATCAATCGATAAATTTGTAATTTAATGGTATATAAATTTAATTACTTTAGCTTTTACTAAATGACAATTTAAGAAAATAAGTGATTTGTACTATTTTTATATTTATAGACAAATTCAATGCACTTGTTTTCTTTTTACCCTTGTTTTCTTTTTTAATTATATTACTCTTATTAATTTGTAAGGGCATATAGGTCTTTATACTCATTATTCCTTACAATTCCAAATCTAACCAAACAACAGAATTAGTATTTTCAGTAATTCTTTTTCCACCAACCAAACAATGAAATTCATCTTCCTAGTAATTATTTTTCCATGGAATTTCAATTCCACCTCCCTTAAAATATTTTCCGCGAACCAAACGACTCCTTTTATAGGGTATTTGATGTTAGTTGTTGTTCATATAATGGATCAGATAGTTGTAATTTGTAACCAATTCATATCTGAGAGCAGACCAATACTTGGTGGTTCAATGTGTCTCTCCTCAATTATGATGACTTAAATTAAAGGTCAATCCAAATAGGAATATAAAGATTTGTAAGTTAACCAAATGTCTTACTGTAATTTTGACATATTTTTTAATGTCTTGCTCTGTGCCTCGTTTGTTTGTTGGTTGAATTTGAACTTTGCTTAATCATATGGTGATTATGACAAATAACTTTTGTTCCTTTCCTATTAGAGTGGACCACTTGCTGCATATTATAAGCTTCCACTCAACCGCGTGATTGTGGTATAGTCTTTTGGGCAATTCAAACTTTTCATTCTTATTATTTGGAAATTGACTAAGTACTATGTGACACTTGGACATTTATTATTATTTTTTTTTTTTTAATTTTAAATTTTAAATTTTTTATTGTAGTTTCATGATGATATGGATTTGCCATGTGGGGTACTTCGTCTTCACCCTAAAGGAGGTCATCATAGTCACAATGGGTATGACCATTATGTCTAAATTTACTCACAGAATAACTAGCATGATATGTGCATAGTTGCATACTTGGGTCCTCATAGCTAATTTCAAGTCTTTAATTTTTATTATTATTATTTTTATTTTTTCGTTTAGTATTTTCTAATCTTTCAACAAGGTGCGTGCTCTTATCTCTTCATCCTGCCCAAATGGAACCTGATAGTCGCTAAAATCTTCCAATGGCAATAAATCAGAACTTTGAGTTTCCTGTTTAATAGGGCTACTAATTGGTCATTCGTGGCATTTGTTTTATGTTCATTAACACTACCTCGTGGGCTGGGGACATGGATGGATATGATGTAGGAAGGCAATAATACTTTTATCAATTATTTAATATATGTTTTAGTTAGATTAGAATTGCTAAATACTTGGTGTTCCCGTTATTTGATTCAATTAGAAGTCCTTGTCTTAATTAGTTATTTAGTCTTATCTAGTCTTAAAGTGATTATTAGTTATTGGATTCTTGTATGAATTCATTGAATCAATGGGAAAGCGGACTAAGGGAGTTTTAAGATCTCAAGCAAACTCAGCCTTGAAGTGTGGCAAAACACTTCCTCTGCCTGTGAGTCCGTGACACCATAACATTTGGTTTGGTTCCGTTGCCGGGGTCATAGGCGACACACTTTTGGACAATCCAGAACTCAACACTCTTAAAGAATCGGTGAATGAGTTGAAGCTATTAGTGAAAGAGTACTACATACATTGTCTTGGAGAATTAGGTGAAGGTGGCAGCAAACTAAAGCAGTGGATAACTAAATTCCTACTCCTTGAAGGTCAAGACAAAACACCAAAACTTCCTCAAAAATTCAGCAAGTAGAGGGTGTTGTTATTTCACTCAAAATGCATTATTCATCCATATTTTTTGAAAATCAGCAACCCTCTATGTTGAATTATCACCCACATGAGTTTGATTGACCGAAACACTAGCTTGTATTTGAGCTATCTCAAAATATGGGTGATCACTAAACACTAATTGTGGAGGATGAATCATCCATTTTGAGTGAAATAACATCAACCCTCGGCTTGCTGAACTTTTGAGGGAGTTGGTGTATGGTTTTTGGTGTTTTCCCTTGGCCTTCGAGGAATTTAGTTATCCCTTCATTGTCATCTTCACCTAATTATCCAAGCAGACGTACGGAGTACTCTTTCAATTCTTGAAGAGCGTTGAATCCCCGGCAACGGAACCAAATTTTATGGTCTAAGTCGCAGGTGGAAGAAGGAATTAAATGTGTTTTGCCACACTAGGTTTGCTTGAGATCCCAAAACTCCCTTAGTGTCCCCTTTTGGGATTTTAAAATTCAGCTCCCCATTAATCCATTGAATTCTTCCTTTTATAATAGGGAAGATACAAGACTCCAATAACTAATAATCACTTAACTAATTCGGACAAAGACTTCTAATAATTGAATCAATTAAATAACTAGAATTAGACAACCAATTAAGTATTAAGCAATTATAATCTAATTAAAACATCTATTAAATAATTGATAAAAATATTGTTGCCTTCTTGCATCATATCCATATCCTCATCCTCATTATTGTTATTGTTATTGCTATTGCTATTGCTACTTTTACTTTGCTATATGGCTTGTCCATGCTCCATGCTAGAAAACTAGAAGGTGAACCTACATCTTTTAGGAGTGAGATACATCTTATGAAACTGCCAGTTAAAAGCATCATAGCAAGCTAAGAAGTCAACAGAACTAGGATACAAAGTATACTTGGGTATGCTTTATTTTTAGCATAGATGGTTTATATCTTGTTTAGGGACCACCTTTTAATCTGCATTTTAAAGTTTTGTATCTTGGTCTCCTTTCCGTTTCAAATTATAACAAATTGTTCTCAATTTACCAACCCACTCATTTATGTGATTAATCTCTTATCTCCTGGTGTTTGTTTTCTTAAGCTTTGGATTGAAATGTTTTAACAGCATAAACTCCTGATTTCTGGTAATTTCATGGATATTTAGGAAATTCATTGCCCATATCTCTACTGGTTCTTGTGTATCGCTTAGTAATAGCTTTGAGAAATTAAAAATTCTCACATATCTGTATGTTTGGTATAAATTTCTGGCCAGTACATAAAATACTAACAATAGGTATAGGAATGCTTCTTTGAAGATCTCTAACACTGTTTTTCTTTCTATATACTTTTTAGATTAAAGAGTGTGATTTATCATTTTCGCGGAAACAAAGAGTTTCCTCGATTAAGAATAGGTTGGTGACTTGGTGGAACCTTGGATCTCTTTATTGTTTTTTTTTTTTTTTTTTTTTTTTTTTTTTTTTTTTTTGGTCTTTTAACACCTTTTACTATAATTAACAACTACCTTAGCTTTGAAGTTTGAACTGATTGCTTGTTACTGTTAGCGAATTCATATATATATATATCACTGTTGCAAAAATCGCGCCTAGACGCCGATTAATCGGCGCCTAGGCGCTAGGCACCCGGCCTCCTAGGCGCTTTAGGCGCCCGCCTAGGCGTTCTAGGCGTTCTAGGCGGCCTAGGCGCTCTAGCTAGGCGCCCTAGGCGGTCCCCAGTCGCCTAGTGGGCGCCTAGCGATTTTTTCAACATTGATATATATATATATATATATATATATATATATATATATATATATATTCTGTTATGAATGCTGTCCGAGATGCAGTTTTGAAGAGATTATGGTAGTTAAACCGAGTATACAAATGAAGAAAGGTACTCACCAGGAAAACCATCTTAAAATGCAGCCCTATATCTCCCACTTCAACAGGATTGAGATTAGGCCGGGTTTTTCAATCTTTGCTTGCATTAAACATATCAAATATTATAATAAACAGAGGATTAAAACTCTTTTGTTACTATTTTACAAAAAAAAAAAAAAAAGTATTTGTTGAGTTTGTCTCATATATGGATTAGGAATAAATGTTTGTCTCATACTAGGAGTAGGAGTGAAACGGGTAGACCTATTGTATAGGGATTGGATGCCTATAAATATATTGGTTGTATCCCTAAAAGGTTGTGTCACCACTATCACCATCACAAATAATAAGAGAATACTTTCACTCCCGTGGATGTAGGCACATTGCCGAACCACGTAAATCTTGTCTTCTTTACCTTTTTGTCATTATTATTTTTCTTGTTCTTGTTAATCTCAACAAATTGGTATCAGAGCACTGTTGAGATGGTCCGTTCAAGTACAAAATTTGAGGTATCAAAGTGTGATGGTATAAGGAATTTTGGGTTATGGCGGTCTAGGGTAAAGGATTTGTTGGCATATCAGGGCCTTCTGAAAACCTTGAGGGCGGAAAATCCAGCAAATCTGGAAGAGGCTGATTGGAAGAAGTTGAAGAAGCAGGAAGCTACGGACGTGGTACATGCTGATGAATCTTATTATAGTGAAGGTGATGTTCTAGCGGTAACTAGTAACAAGTTCGAACATTGTTTGGACTTGTTGGGCGTTTCAAGATGCTAGATGAGAAGGTGGTGAGGGGCGCTGTGGTGTTGGGCAGCGCGGATACCAGGAGGGGTCGTGGACCTGGTATCAATATGGGTCAATATTGGCTCGGTATGGGCTGGGCTTGTCATAAGTCACAGCTAGTATGGGCTGTGGTAAGGGCTGGGCTTTTGGCATGAGTCACGGCTGGTATGGGTCGAGCTTGTCACGAGTCATGGCTGGTATCGGTATGGGCTTATATGGGCTCAGTATGTGCCGGTATGACACTGGTTAGGGCCGATATGGGTTTGGTATGGGAGGACTTCTCGGGACGACGAAGAAGTTCGTGAACATGCACCGGGAAACGTTTGGTGCTGCGTTGTGCGTGTTGCTGGCCAGTGGTAATTGCTGGTTAGTGGAGCATTGGGCAAGGCACACGAGTTTAGTGTGACTTTGCAGGGGCGCTATTGTGTTAGGGCAGCGTGGATACCAGGAGGGGATATGGACCTGGTATGGGCCGGATGCAGGAAGTCAACTGAACGGGGCAGTTAGCATGAGTCGCGGCGGTATAACAGGTCGACGGTTGAGGGGCGAATGGCTTGGAACAAAGCGGTTCGTGTACATGCACTGGGTAACGTTTGATGCTGCGTATGCATGTGGCTGGCTAGTTGGGATGAGCATGGTTGTTCCTACCCATGTGTATATGTGAGATAAGTTTTTTTCTCCTAAGGGGCATAATTGTGAAGGTGGAGATGGTGAGATAAGTCTTTTCTCCTAAGGGACATATTTGCTAAGGTGGAGATTTGTTGAGTTATCTTTTTTTCCTAAAGGACATATTTGCGAAGGTGGAGAAGTCTTTTCTCCTAAAGGGCATATATGTGAAGGTGGAGATGGTGAGATAAGTCTTTTCTCCTAAAGAGCATATTCGTCAAGGTGGAGAATTGTTGAGTTATCTTTTCTCCTAAAGAACATATTCGCCAAGGTGGAGATTGTTGAGTTTGTCTCATATATGGATTAGGAATAAGTGTTTGTCTCATACTAGGAGTAGGAGTGAAACGGGTAGACCTATTGTATAGGGATTGGATGCCTATAAATATATTGGTTGTATCCCTAAAAGGTTGTGTCACCACTATCACCATCACAAATAATAAGAGAATACTTTCACTCCCGTGGATGTAGGCACATTGCCGAACCACGTAAATCTTGTCTTCTTTACCTTTTTGTCATTATTATTTGTCTTGTTCTTGTTAATCTCAACAGTATTTTACATAGTTGGTAGGAGGGTGTAATTGGAATGATTATCAATATTGATGTTTGGTTATGTATGACTATATAATGTGAATATACAAGTTGTAAAAATACAAAATAAAATAAAAATTTAAGACAATTGATCCTAATATAAAGACATTCAAAACAAAAATATGAACAATAAAAAAATTAAAACAAAAATCTAAAAGTACTAATTCAAACTTAAAAATTAGATTACTAATAAAATGGAATGATACACATTTTTAATTAGGGAATGAGGTTTTTAATTGAAGTGTAATCAAATCCCATAATTGTGTTTTAAAAAGTTGTCAACCAAACATTAATTATGATTTCAATTCTCATTCCTCCTAGTTAAATCCATGAACAAACACACCCTTAATCTTTTTTTTTTTTTTTAGTGTAAATATATTAATTATTTTTAGTTAGACAAATACTATATTTTTTAAAATGTTTTTTTTTTTGGGAATTTTTTTTAAAAAAAATGTTTTTGATGTCTTTTGACATGAAGAATAAAAAAGGTCACTTCAAGCATAACTATATAGGAATTGATATTAACATGATAATAAAATGAGGCAAAGACCATTTAAAAAGGAAACGTACTTGACATATGATTCACAAAATAAAAATAAATAAAATAGGAATTATATATCAAAAATGACAGGGAAAATATGATTATTTTGTTATTTGAAAGTTGATTTTTTTTTTTTTTCATTTTAAACCAACCAAAACTAGAATATCATTTGTTAGTACCATATATCAGTACTGATAAATGATACTAAGGGTGTGTTTGGTTCGCACATGAGAATCGGAATCAGAATGGGCATCAAATACTTGGTAATGGTAATGAGTTTTAGTGAAAGTATTTAACATGTTTGGTAGTAGGGTGGACTGTGAATGAATACTAATAGTAGTGTTTGAGAATGAATAAGTACAGTGAATGAAATCCTTATTTTATTTGAGTATGGGTTTTTCAACTGATGAGTTATTCGAAATCCATAGTAGTGTTCTAAAAACCTATCAACTAAACAATAAGTCAATAACAATCACTTTATACCCATTCCTATGAGCAAAACCCATCAACCAAACACACCCTAATTAACATTGTATATATGTGTTACTTGTTTTTCAAATATGTTTGCTGCGAAAGAATGTATAGATAGAGCACCAAGAATGGTCATCCTGCTGCCGGAAGACAAAGATTGCAAATTATTTGGGTGGAAAGTGGATTGGTTTACTACAAATTAAAGGTATGACGATAAAGAAAAAGGTTTTAAACATAGTGGTGTTGTTTTGCAGGATATGAGTTTACCTGGGAGGCAGGAGCTCAAGAGGACAGAAGAAGTTTACGTGCAAACATTAATGAAGCATTGAGGGATGAATGGAATAGTTTGATGATTAATCTCCAAAACCATAACCAAGTTCCAGCTCTGCACGGAGTCTGCACAACTACTTTGCCTGGAAAAACTATACAATTTTTTTTTTTTTTTTGGATATACTCAGGGTTTCCACAATCGAACACATTAACTAATCCCTTCGCTGAAAATGAATTAAGTTTTTTTTAATGCCATATTGATGACATTGATGAGTCTGTAAAAATTAAATTACTTTTTTTTTTAAAGATGACATGATTATAATAGACTTACTGATATTGTCGAAGAGTAACTAAGGAGTTATATAATAAAGTTATAATGTACGAATTCATAGGTTTTCCTTGTGCAGGTATATGTGAGACCTCAATAGTCATTGTGAACTTCCTCTTGCAAATTCTTAATGATATTTTGAAATATGATTTTTTTTTTCAATAAGATTATGCATATATAATTTATACAAAATTTGAGATTGAGTAGGTGAGCTTTTAATCTCAAAGATATTTTTAATGGTAAAATTCCATGCAGTTCAAGTATATTTATTGGTACCCCTAACTCTAATTCTAATGGCCTTTGTCTTTAAAATATTACCTAAAAATAATATGAAAATCGATACAATAATTCATCCAAAAAAGTTTAACTACTTACTTATTTTCTATAATGTCTTTATTAATTGAGTATATATATATTTTTAAAATTAATATACTAGTAAAATATATTATTACCTGTCAATGACCTGTTAATATAATTTAATTATTAAGAAGGAGCCTTATTGACTAAGACTAGTGAAGTAATAGATGAAGCAAGAGCAAATTAAAATGATTGATAATATGAAACTGACTCACCATAGGTGAAATCTTTACCTCTAAACCTAATTTGCATATAACGAATGACAGAGTAGATGAAGAAAAGTGTCGAATTAGACGTAGTGGATGACAAATTAATACAATACATACATCACATAAGCATATTGCATAATTTTTCAATTATGGCAAGAGTACATACATAAATTACTCAAACCCAGAACAAAATAGACCCAAAATTTGAAGTGTCTCACAATTATTTGATTTTTTCAAGAAATTTATGAAGCAAATCCATAATATTAATAGTGGATCTAAGGGATTTCAATGACTACTTGAAACAAATACTGACAATAGAGAGCTAAGGGCATCCCCAAAAGGGGATTTTAGAACAATAAAATGGATTTTCACAAATGGGAAGGTAAGTTCTTTTAGGAGATTTTATTATTGCAAATTAGGGTTCTTTGGGGGCCCACTTGCAGAGATAAAAGGAAGAAGGAGAAGCTGCAGGCGCGTGCACTGCACGTGCCAGCTGGGCGCGTAAATAGCATGTTCTAATTTTTTTTTTTATTTTAATTTTTCATGTCAGACTTTTTTTTTTTTTTGCTTTTTTTTTTTTCTTCCCTTTTTCTCTTCCCTCTACCCTCTCTTTCCTACATGGCTATGACAAAATCCCTTAAAAATGTCTCACTATTGAGGTTGCCCTAAGGATGAAGGTAAATGATGTGATACTTAGCTCAATAAGTGAGCAAAGCTCTAGGTAGAAGGAAGCTATGGAAGTATGGAGTCATGGAGTCTTCAGAGTAGTGATGAAGTGAGTAGTAATGAAGCGTCGAGAGATGTAGTGAGGATGCGACAGATGAGTAGGCAATAGATGGAGAGGGATAAGATAGAATGATACTCGTTTTTAATTAGATAAATGAGTTTTTAATTAAAAGAGTAATTAAATCTTATAGTTGTGTGCTAAGACCTTGTGGTCTAATGGCACCAATGTTGTACTTTTATGTGGGAGGTTGTGAGTTTGAGTCTCAATGAAGGTGACATTTACTTTTTGTGCTTTAGTAGGATACTACATTGTAATAGAGTCATTAGGATGAACCAAACACATGCTAAGTGATGACATAATTTGCAACAATGTAAATATACAAATATGTAACCCTAATAGGTTTTGTGTATGTGTGAATAATGTAATATACATTAAAACTATCAATCAATAAATTTTTAATTTTTTTTTGAAAGAATAAATTTGTAATTTAATGTTATATAAATTTAATTACTTTAGCTTTTACTAATTGACAATTTAAGAAAATAAGTGATTTGTACTATTTTTATATTTATAGACAAATTCAATGCACTTAGGAATCCTTCAATAGTTCAATTCATTCAAAATTAATTTTCACCAAGAATGTTTTACCATCCAGATTCAATCAAATACTAGCATGGAGAAAAATATAGCATTGGTAAACATATTAGCAAAACTTAAAATATTTTTGACCTTGGGTACTTTTTGAAGAATTATGCGGTCATGTAACGTATTATGGTAATCTTTTATTTTATTTTGAATTAATTTGAATCTAAATCTTTTCATTAAAAAAAATACTATTTTCAATTATTTTTTACTATATCAAGCGAATTAACCAAATACAAAAATTTATTCCAATCTAGCATAGTGTCTCCCATCTTATATATATATATATATATATATATATATATATATATATATATATATATATATATATATATAGAGAGAGAGAGAGAGAGAGAGAGAGAGAGAAGGGGTTAGGTGTGGGTATAGCTTCCCGTGCGGTTGTGCGGGTTGACGCACTTTAAGTACACAAACCATACACCTTAAGAACACAAATCACGCGCACCTAAAGCTTTAGACTGACGCACCTTAAATACACAAACCATGCACGTTAAGTACACAAATCATGCACCTTAAGAACACAAACCACGCACAGGGTTGGCCACTGGGGGGTTGGGTATTATTTTTTAACAGTATGAGCGATGTGTGCAGTCATTGTTCATCAATATATAGCGAAGCATATATTTAGTCACGCATATACTGTAGCATGACGGTTGTCACTCTAGTCCAATGTGAGATTGTGTTAAATTAATTAGAACGTGAGTGCAACAATGTAATAAAGTATGCGATACTGATTGAAGTATCTCTGGGTGAGTGTTAAAGGTAACAATGTTGTACAAAACAGAGACGTCATGTGTAGAGACTAATGAATGATTAGCGGTGTATTAATTAGTATGTGTCTGCAGGGGTGGGGTTAAGTGTGTGCAAGCTAATGATTGTTGATTCAGTGAAGTTAAATGTGCGCAATTGTGTATGGATGAGTTTAGGGAGTTTATGTGTTTTTATCCTTCACAAATGCAGGACCCAACAAACAACATGAAGATGGATAGAGTTGTGTTATGGATATATCTCCAGGGTGTTCAAAGTATTGGTTAATAGTATGTGATCAATCCCTCATACCAAACGTTGGACATCGATTTGATAAATTAGAAGCTGGAATTGAATTCTATTTGAAGTATGCTTCAATTGCCGGGTTTGATGTGCAACGCAGTATTGATAAAAAGAACAAACATGGTGCCATCCTGAAAAAGTATTTGGTTTATTCTTGCCAAGGGTATAAGGAGCCAACTGATACAGAAACAGTGGCAAGTAAAACCACAGAGCAACCCAAGCACCGACGTACTTCTAACAGAGTTGGTTGCATCACTAAGATCATATTCAAACTAAACAATGGTGTGGGGTATGAAGTGGTGTCATTCGAAGAAAGACACACGCATTGTTTGTGCGAGGATAGTTACAAAACGTTCATGAAAGTGAATCAGAAATTAGACATTGGGCATCAACATTTCATAGAAAACTGTGCAAAAGCTAAGATTGGGCCGGGCCAACAAAGAGTTTTAACCTTTATGCAGAAATGGTGGGTGGAGTAGAGAATGTGAGTGCTATGCATCAAGATTTCAAGAACTACAAGAGAGAGATCTTGGCATATATGAAAGGGGGATATGCACAGATGGTGTTGTCCAACTACCTAGAAAAGAAGGTGGATTCTGAGGATATTTACTTTGAATAAGAATTGTATTCATGGTAGGATTTAATCCAAAATTAATTATCTTTAAAAAAAAATATTTGTCAATATTTAAACTGAATATTGACGAATTATTTGCCTGCACGCATGAACATATGCGATGGCTTAACGCGAGCTGAAATATCGGGGATGTGAGTGCAACGTTGTAGAACACAGTGTGCGTGTCTCTCAAAGCATAATGGTAATTAACAGTTTTTTTTTTTGTTTTTTTTCGTGTTTTTTTTTTTTTTTTTTTTTTTAGTGTGTGTTAGCTAGCGTTTCTGAGAACATGGTTCACAAGCTCAACTTGCATACGTTTATGGATTCGACAGAATAACTTTGCAACAGGTTAGTATAGTATAGAACCACCTAAAGAAGTATGCATATTTGTGTGTGAGCGTGTGTTATTTAAGTTGGTGCGTCATCAAATTCACCATAGACGCGAGAGCCAACATAAGCGCACACACTTCTGACGTAAAATACAAACACAGAAGCTAAACAAACGAACAAAAATTGGGTAAATGCAAACACCATACAACTGCAAAGCATAGCCTTAAAATCCCACCCTCCCATCCATCACCTACACAGAAACGATGCAACATATAGAAATGCACACACTGGCCAGTGGAGTTGCACAAATGTTGGCATGTGTGTTACTGTGGGTAAGTGTGTGCTTGTTCAGTAACAGATAGTGCATGTTATTACCCAAATGTTGGCGTTTGCATCTTAGTCGAAGTGTTTCACGCTTGTGCTTATTTATAATGACAAAAAAGTGTAGCCTCGTAGCACACAACATGTGTATTTAAGCTACAGTTGGTCACATAGGCATCTTTAAAATTAAGTATACCGATAAGAGTGAATATTGGTTAGTGTTTTAGAGCACATCTTTCAATCGATACAATGCATCTGCGTTGTACGATACAACTTTTCATCTGGAACCCTGTGGATGTTATTGCATAAACATGTGCAAATCTTGGTAGTACAAGAAAGTGTCCAACACTAATTCGACCAAGTAATTTTGGTTCAAGTTTGATTGGAATATGGATGCCCAAAACAATATGAATAGCGGTCTCCAATATGATGCGTCGTCACCAGGGGCGGAGGCAAAGGTATGCCAAGGGGGGCCTTGGTTACTCCCCCCCCCCCCCTCCCCCCCACCCAATTTTTTTTTTTAAATATTAAATATAATATTAATTTTTTTCTAAAAATATTATATAGAATATTAAAATTTTGTTGTTCCTTCAAAATATTTGGCCCCCCTCCCACTTAAATTAATCGTACAAGCTAAGTTATAAACTTCTTCATCTTCTCAACATCTCTCGTTGTCTCCAATATCAAATTATGTATTCACTATATTGTTGACTCACATTCAAATTAAACCCCATTTAACCTACCTACTAGTTTCTCTCTCTAGAACCATACATATATGCGGTATATATGCTATAACAAAATAATTTGTCATTAAAATCTATGCATATTTTTCAAGTTAATTTCTGTTTTGTTTTGTTTTTTTTTTTTTTTTTTCTAACTACATGTTTGGTTAAGTTTTGTTTCATATTATATTGTTTATTTTAAATATTGGTTTTGTTGTATTCAAAAAAATTGATATGAAGGTACATTTGTTTGGTTAATTATGCCGATTTGTGGTTACGTGATAAATATTGTATTTACTTTAACACGCATAATAATGTAAAAATTGTGTAGTATATGTAGTTAAGAAAACAATTGCTATTATGTTATGTTGTGAAGATGGTAGTTTTCACGAATAATCAATGGTCTTTTTAAAACATGCGTGAATGTTTTCATTTTTTCAACCGTACAAAGCAATGTGCATTGAAAAACATATTAAAAATAATTTAATATAGATTCAATTATAAATTATTTATTCTAAACTTTATTAA